ATAAAAGGATGTGTGGGCGGTCGGCGGCCAGACCACTGCAGGGAAGGGGTGCCGGGCGCGCACCGGGGCGACATGCGGCTGACGGTAAGACGTGCTGACGCGCTGACCGCGCTGAGTGAGCAGTGCATGCTGCCGTCGTTATCGACACTGCAGTAAACAGTGCACGCTACCGTCGTTATCGACACTGCAGTAAATGGTTCCATTGGTCCTCGCGTCAGCAGCAATGGTGTTTTACACTTTGTTTCATTGTGAGATGCAATTATTTGATCACAGTGATGTAAGCATAGCCATGCGCGGAGAAATACAATCTTGGTGTTTTGCAGTGTGTTTAGTAATGAGGCTCCCACATTTCATCAGAGTGCGGTCATTAGCTTTAGAGACTGCAGTACGGTTGCCACCGAGACACATATTGCCACAGTGCTGAATTCATCACGTATTTAACCTTGTCCGCCCGTTTGCACAAGACTTCTTATTAGTGTTTTGCCCGCTTGTATGCGCCTACGTTCAGACTTTCGAACAAGTAAATCGCCCCTGGACAACCGCTCATGTCCCGTCCTCTCTCGATTGGCAGAGGTTTGGTCTGGGCTGCGGCCTCGTGGTCGCCCTGGCGGTGACCTGCCAGGCGGGAGGTGGCGGTTGGCGACCGATCTCCAGCGGTCAAGGCCATTCCTCTGGCGGATACGGTCGGTCCTCCAGCAGCTACAGCCGGTCTTCGGGTGGTCACGGCCAGTCCTCCGGCGGGTACAGCAAGTCCTTCGGCGGCCATGACCATTCTTCCAGTGGTCACAGCAGGTCCTCCGGTGGCTACGGCCAGTCCTCTGGTCGCTACGGCCAGTCTTCTGGTGGCCACAGCCAGTCCTCCGGCGGCTACGGTCAGTCCTTCGGCGTTCACCGGGTGTCCGGGTTTGGTGGCTCCACTGGCGGCCATAGATCATCCGGATATGCTGGATCCTCTGGTGGCCACGGATCATCCGGATATGCTGGATCCTCTGGTGGCTACGGATCATCCGGATACGGTGGATCCTCCGGAGGACATTCTACCTCGGGCTACAGAGTAGGGCGGTCAGGAGGACATGGCTCGTCAGGCTACGGCGGAGGGCGCCCAGGAGGTCGCGGGTCCTCAGGATACGTTGTGTCCTCACAAGGCTACGGTGCATCACGCGGCGGTCATGGCGGTGGCTACGGCGCATCACGCGGCGGTCATGGCGGCAGCTATGGCGCATCACGCGGCGGTCATGGCGGCGGCTACAGCGTATCACGCGGCGGTCATGGCAGTGGCTACGGCGCATCACGCGGCGGTCATGGCGGCGGCTACGGTGTATCACGCGGTGGTCATGGCGGTAGCTACGGCGCATCACGCGGCGGTCATGGCGGCGGCTACGGTGCGTCACGTGGCGGTCATGGCGGTGGCCACGGCCGCCACAAGGTTTGGAGCGGTCGGCGCCAGCGTGGTTTCGGCGGACCCAAGCAGCATATCGCTGGCCTATTGCGAGGAGCCAAGTCGTTTATCAAGGGCCTTTTCGGTGGCGGACGGCGACGGGGCCACCGGGGATACAGGAAGGGGGGCTGGCATCACGGGTAACGGATAGAACGTGTGTGGGCAAACGAGGTTAGCGGCCGCAGAGTTAACAACACACAAACTGAACGGAAAAAGTTTATTACTGGCTTGCAAACTTTCAAATTAATGCTCCAAACTTACTGATTGAAAGCTGCGACATCTGCCCGAAGTGAGCCAGTGCTAACCGACCTCAGACAGCCTATCAGTGGCCGAGAACGGTCAATGTTCAGCCCCTGACGTGACCGCGGCGGTGGCAGTGACAGTGACCTTCAAAGTCGCATCTCCGCGCCTGGTGCTTCTGCTGGGCATTATGCGCAGATGCTCGCGTGGCTGCGATGCTCGATGCAAGTCCGTGTCAGAGCTCGTCGTGAAAGGCACAGCTGTCTGCGGGCGTCCTGCGCCAGGTACCGAGAGAGACGAAGAGTCGAGTCCTGGGAAGCGGGTACTGAGGCAGACAGGGAGCCAAGTCCTGGGAGGCGGGTACCGAGAGGAATGTCTTGTCCGGCGCTGTGGCCTACGGGCCACGTCGGCCTAGGGTCCCAGGCCAATCGAACATTCTGACCCCATGAAAATAAGCCATCTGATCCATCGAGCTTTCTAGCCTCGCGAAAATAAACAAACTTATCCGCAGAATCCAGCGTTTTCTTTGGTGCGAGTTGTGTGCGTTCAAGCCGAGAATAAGATTGCCAAAGATATTAATTACGACTCTGACGAAGTAGTTGCTTTTCTGAACGCATTTTATGAGATTCCCCCTTACATTGAAAATGCAATACTCTCACTTGCATATACGCCAGCAGTAAAACCATGCCTTAACTACCACTGGTATCCGTTATTCTCGACATGTAAGACCGTTCGATGCATGCAATGTGCACTGATGCGTAGGAGCTACGAAGCAAATGAATAGCGCAGCAGCTTAAATCATGCAATGTTCAATACATTGTCTGAATTCGCCGTGCATGATGTCTTAGGACGCGTACCCGATGCACGTATCAACGTTAGCACAAGCCAAAGTTTCGCAGCCAGCTGCATCTATGCGTTACGTTCTCCATCGGCAAACCCACGAAATGGACTGCGAGATGCATTACAGCATCAATAAATTAACAAGTCGCGCAATTTTAGTGAAACCGTGTGATCGCTCAATGAAACGGGGGTTTTATTTCCGGTGCACAGCGTGCAATATCTTGGTACCACCGCTGTCATCCGTTTTAATCAAACTCGCAATCGGCCTCACTACCAGCACTATTCTTTACGTGGCACGCCTAGTTATATTCGCAGCTTAGTCCTGCGGGGTGTGTTGCGATTGCAATGGCACTCTCGTGCAAGCCGATGGCTGAAGAGTAGCTTTAGTGGGGACCGTGAGGGTCCTGGCACCCTTACTCAGGGACAGTCTGCATTGATCACCTACGCGTGCTGAGTCTGGGCTCAGTATGGAGTACCTGGGCGCGTCTGACATCGCCAGGCTGGCTGAAAGGGGTAGGTGGGTGACAAAGCAGCCAAAGGTTTCGCGTTGGGCAGAAGTAAGGCTGCGCCTGAAAGCAGTCTTCGTCGGGCTATAAAGGGAGACCATCAGCCAAGCCAGGTCCAGCAGTTTGCGTGGAAGTCTATAAATCTACATGAAGTTGTGTTTTTGATCATGGCAGCAAGTAGAGTCAACTGGTTGCTACAACCTTTTTCAACCAGGGTCCTGCAGTCATACAGGGCACTCTCGGGTGTCAGGTGAGGGCATCAAGAGCCATGCCGGGCACTCCCGGATACCCGCTCCTGACATGCAGCGCGCTCTCGGGTGCCAGGTGAGGGCATCAGAAGTCATGCAGGGCACTCTCAGGTGTTAGAAACGGACATCAGGAGCCATACAGGACACTCTTTAGAGCCATGGACAAGCATCTAGGGCCATGCAAGGCACTCTCGGGTGTCAGAGAGGGCATCAAGAACGACATTCCTCATGGCTCACCCCATATAAAAACAAAACGTCACGGGGGCTCCAATACAGACCAGGAATACAGCACGCGATCGATGACTGCTGCTCCCTAGAGCGGTACAAAGAAGACCCTCAGGCGTATACCGACACCGAGCCCACTGTGCGGTGCCGGCGGTGGGTGACAGGCATGAAGGCGCTTATTGACTCAGGGGTTCCCCGACTGGCGCAAAGGTCCCTCTGACAATTGGGGGCTCGTTCCTGCGGACCAGCGCCCCGAATACGACTTGTGGCTGGCCTTTCGGGCTCTTCATCATCGGCCTCGAGGGGTCCTTCGGACCCCTCGGGATCGAAGGGGTGGATGGGAGGGGCATGTGTTCCCTGTGCCCTCCTTTGTTTGCACCACTGGCGGCCAGGGCACAGTTCTGGTGAATGGCTAGACCCAGTGTGCATTGACTTGGCTGTTCCCGTTAGATGGAGCCGCGACAATGTACAAAATCCAGGTCGGAGCTGAGGAGCTTGGGGTGCATTAGCTTATTACACTGTTTTACCTGACCGATCCTGAAACAGGCATATATATATATATATATATATATATATATATATATATATATATATATATATATGTATGTATGTATATATCAGACAGGAGGGTTAAAGATACACGCACACTCGATCCGGTAAGCGTCCTAGGCTACAACGATATTTCACCATTGTGTCCGGATCCGGCCCTCTTATCCTCTGTCTCACTTCATTCTGCATCCTCGCTCCGCTCCGCTTGTCCAGGGTAGACTGCATGCGTCAGCCGCGAGTGGGCCGAGAGGCCCCGTGGGAAGGGCGACCCCGACCGGGTACCCAGTGCACATGCGCGGGTTAAAACTCGGCGGTTGGCCTCCCAGGTGCATGCGAACCTGCCGCACCGTTAACCAGTTTCCTTCATCCTACGGCCCTGAAATGATCATTTCTGGTCGAAAGGGCTCTAATCCAAACAACCAAACCAACCATTTTGTTCCATTGGTTGATCTGCCTGACCGGGGACTTATCAAAATGCAAACCCGTGGCCTCGAAGCTCCATGGATTCACCTGGGTAAGTTCATCAGACGGCCGCAGCTATGATGGGCAGAGTAAATTGGCAAGCAGGGGGTGCAATTTTGAGTCCATCTGATGCTTCCGAAGTCGTAAATGCGCGCATTTTGTCCAGCGCTTCTCTGACGCAAAACGCGGCGGATCGTCATCGAATGACTTGCTTCCCTGTACCAACGCCTCGGTTCATGAATTGCCTTCAATATTGAACTAATTGTAAAATGTACTCATTTTTTCAAGTTTGCCTTGATCGTACCATTAGTTCTACTCATCAAACGTGTTGTAGCACATGCATCGCCCGCGTACCTTGCAACGTCACGTATGCGGTCGTCCCAGTATTCAAGATGTACTCCCAGTGACGTCATATAGGGATCTTTGCTCTTTGCTGACAGATGCGTAGTCGGGACGGTCGGGCCACCCGATATATCGCCTTGGTTGCTTCGTGATAAAATTCGAGAGTTGTAAGTTGGTTGTGAGTGAAAGAGCAGCGGGAATTTGCAGGAAAACCCAAGTAGCCTTTACTCTAGTAGCCTTGAGGAAAACCCTGGTGCGACAGGGCTGAACGCGGGCTAAGGCTTGGGCATTAAGGCTGACGCCTGGACTGTTGTACGGCGTTGGGTTGAGGGAGCCGTCGGCTGTGTGTTTGTTAAATACGGCTTCGCACATAAAAGCTATATTATAGTAGATTAGGGCGGTTTTAGTGCACGCCTACAAATACAAGTCGAAGTCATGGCAGGAAGGCAGTATAGTGATGCGAAAAATCCCTTCTTCTCCGTTGAAGAACCAGTATCTGATGATGACTTTTTGAGGCACCCTAAACAAGGTTCATCTGGCTACATGTTTCCTGGGCATCAGTCTGGTTCACACAATCCCCTAGAAGATAGAAGGCTTCAACTTCAAGAGGAGCGTAGAAAAATTGAGCAGCGCACACTGGATTCTTCTAGTCGATCAGTGGGTCTTCTTCAAGAATCAGAACGAGCTGGTATTGAAACAGCTGAGGTTGGTACCTCCTTACCCATGCCCTGATATTGCACTATTTTGTATACTTGAGGCATTTGTTGGCAGTGTGTAGGCTTTTTATTACCCTGAAAAGCTGGATGCAGGGCTTTTGGAGGTTGTCCTAGGCAATTACTATCCAAGAATGTCTTGTGCATGATTTATCATATGCCTAAGCCCATCATTCCCAATATGTGTTTATGGATGATATTTCCTTAAGGAAGGTCATGCTGGATATTTGATACAAGGCATCTTGTCCTGATTTGTATTCAAACAAACAGGCCAGCCACTGCTGAATGTGATTATTGCCATGATATGTTAGTATTAATGCCTGTCAGAGGCTGACAATTCAGTATACATCATCCTGAAGCAAGCAATAGTCCAGTTAAAAAAAAAATTGTTCAACAAAAAGCATGCTATCTGTCCTCTTTGTAGAAAAGGTGCTCTCCATATCTATTCTGAGCCCTTGCACACCTCCTGTCAGTCTGTCTGATGATTTGAGGCATTATGTACACTGTATGATCTGAGATGACTGACAGCTGTGGCTCCTGTTGAAAGTTCGGAAAATCTGAAGATAGGTGTGACACCCTCCAATTTTCTAACTTCAGGTTTTTGTCTGCTTTTTGTCCATATTTATGTCTGTCCATTCCAAACTTCAAAGGAAAAATGTGACATTGCATAGCAAATGTGATTTTAAGCTTACACTGAGATGTGGAATGATAAGAACTGTCAATCCTTGGGCAAATTAGGACAAAATGTATTTTATGTTTTCAGGAGCTTATCAGACAGAGAGAGCAGCTGGAAAACACAGAGCGAAGATTGGATGACATCAACTCAACATTGAATGTCAGCCAGAGGCATATCAGCAACATAAAGGTAAGACACCAAAGATTGAGCCATGCAGGTACCTATATAGTCGTCACAGGTATGTTTGGAGTATAGCAAGCATGATTGGTAACATCTTTTGCTTCTGTCTCTGGCTAGCATTCAGAAATAATTGGAAAACTGGGAAGAGGACTGGTAGGATGTGGCTGAAGTAGTATGTACCAGCAGGCTCACAGTAACTCAAGTGCTTCAAAAATGTGTCTTAAGATACCAGGGTCATGACAATCTAAGTTGGCTTTTACAGACATTAGGACTTGGTGGTTTAGCTGGCTCAGGCTAAAACACTAAGACATGTTTAATATTATACCAAGCTGATTAACTGGAAGTGTCCATGCTACATTTTATATTCCTTGCATACAGACATGAGTTGTCAGTCATGTTGGAAATGCAGAATAGCACAGGTAATATGTAAGCCCATGCAATGTGGGATGGTCAATGGTCCATACAAGGAACCCAAAATCTGAGTGTCTGGGTGAGTTTTAACACCAAATAATTATAAATTACATTACTTCAACAGGCTATCCAGGTCCAGCCTCTGAAACTGAGTAACTTCTGAGAGGCTTCTACCTTCAATGTTTTTTTCACTGCTGTGAGGTTTTCAGCAGCATCACAATACTTTGAAGTTATGCTGTAGCATTTCGCATGACTTAAAGGAAAGTTGATTGATCAGAGAGTATATGGTTGCAACAATGCAACATTGCCCTCACATGCAATATTGCCATTATTCTTCTCACTTTTCCATAAACGTCAAAAACATTTCTCGGATCACAAAACAGCTGAAGAACATGGATCATAAACAGGTCCAGATCTGAGCGGACAGGCGCCGCAGCGCCATAAGTCTGACAGATGAGAAAACGGGATTATCGTCTAATTGTTACTGACAGAGGAGAAAACGGGACTGCCGACCTGGTAAAAGCAATGATCGTATTGCACCGACCATCGTGTGCGGTGCGAACCATGGATAAACCCTTTTTCGGTCGTTTTTATTTTAGGATTCATGTTGCCCCGCAGGAGCATCGGCTTTGGCCAGTCTAGGAGAGTCGGGTCCTCTTGGGTTTCAGTTCCGATAACGGGTGGACAGCGCCAGCTGGTCATTTTAGGGCATGGCGACCCTGTCGGAACGTGAGCTCCTGCTCCTTATGCCGCCCACTCCTTCCTCATCACGTGCATACAAGTACGCGGCGCTCTCACCACTCCTCATCCTCGTTTTAGTGGGATCGCCGTGCCCCCTCGCCTGCGCCCCTGATTGATCAGCTCCTGGTAGCTGAGGGGCGCGTCGTGCGGGTCAGTCACGGCGCGTCCCAACACTCCACTTTGACCAGGACATCCGGGGGCGCATTGCTCGCGGGGATCCACACTGATCTAGCGGCTTGTCGCCTGCGCTGGATGCCGGTTACCCTTCGTGAGTCCCCGCCTGGTGCGCCCGACTGCACGTGGTGACTTAAGGGATCAAGAAGCGGCGGCGCTGAACCACGGTCATGACGGTGGGATATCCTCGGTTACGCCTGGCCATACGGGAGGCGTCGTTCACTCCGTATAGCATCGTGGTAGTTCTGGAGACACCACCTCCCTCTTAGTGAGTGAGCCTTTCCTGGTTGGGATCCGAGGTGACTGGGGAGCCGCAGTGTCAAATGATAATACAGATGTCCTCTCAAATGATCATACGAATTGCATGGCAACATCAAACCTAAAAAGTACTTGTCCCCTTAGGGGAACAAGGAACGATCTAATCCCGGGCAGCAGTGGCGCGGCGCCCAGCCCTCGGTTCTTGATATTTCGCAGAGAGGAGAGACCCCTGGCGTCCCTCTCGCCGTTCCAACGTCGAGACAGGTGCGACAGATTCGGCGAAATTCTGAGGTGCGACAGAATCAGAGATGGTAGTATTGGGTTTGAGTTTAGGAATGGTGGGAAAGCTGCTTACAAGTTCGTGTCCAGTATCGGGCATGCTGGAGATAAAATGGACACATCACTGGCTATGGCCGTGAAGAATAAAACCAAGGACTCATCGAAGGGAATCATTATCTGCTACGAAGCGAGGGACGTAAGTGAGGAGGAGATAGTGAACGGTCCCGCGGAGTTCGGTGTGACGGACGCACGCCGCATCAAGGCGTGGAGGAGTGGTGAGTGGTGGAACAGTTCCTAAAGCATAATAGTGCAGCGATGGGGCAGAGGGGCCCTTCTTCGCTTCTTTTTGCCTGCCCAGTATAACAGATCTGATTCTTGAACAGGCAACGAGAGATACGTTGTTATTGTCCAATTAAAAGGTTCTAGATCTCGAAATATGTCATAGTTAGTTAAGCATTTTAAAAATACTAAAGACCTTAGAGCAGGATGTCTTTGGCTATTTCTCATCTACCACCAACGTTCCCGTCTCTGTTTCGCACCACTTGCACAGTTTGGAGTCGAATGGACATTGCCCTGTTCGACGTGACGCTTAACACAGCGTTAGAAGTAGGGGAGGGGGGGGGGGGGGGGGCTGTCCAGCGTAACCAGCCTGTAACCAGAGTTGGGGCGCGCGGAAGGAGTGCTGAAAATTATCAAAAATGCGTGAAGTATTTTATAAACGGGTAATTATTCTTTATTTCCAAGACCATGGACCGTTTTAGTTGTCGTTTTTTTACTGACCAAAGGCCAACGATCCATTTAATAAATTTGAGCCTAAACCGGGATGGAGGCAGGCTAAGGAGGGTCTGTTGTATCAGCCATGACTCCACTGTCCGATCGTTAAATCCCAGGTTAATGGTAGAACTTCATAGCCATCGTTTAATGCGCCGTAATGCTCGGTGCGGTCCTTCTTCCTCTCCACCTGACGTCTAGCGCGGTCGCTGCCACCCTCCGCAGGCAGTCGCAGTCCGGGCTGAAAAGCGAGGGTTTGAAGCGACTCGTACTCACCCGCTGGGGGTTGCTGAATCCGAGGACAGCCGCTCTGAACGACGGAGTTGTGGAGACGGGCTTGCTGTACTGCGGCGGGCATATAACAAGAACATCACGTGGATAATCCGCTACGTTCTAGCATGTCTGCCGAGCTGGACAGTAAAGGCCGGACAATTCTGTGAGCATTATTAGTTCCGCGAAAGTGTCACATAGGTATTACCATGATTGAAGGACTGCGTATCAAGATCAAATATGTCGCCTTGCGGACAACACTAGTTGTGTATCGCCCATGAGTCCACATGAGATCACTTCAGACCGCTTCACCACTGATTGCGACCCCTCGTCCACTGACCGCTACGCCATGCCTGCAGAGCGTCTTCAGCAGCCTGAAAAGCTACTTCGGCAGTCGTGGTGCGGCAACAGCGGACCCGGCGCGCCCGGCCGGCGCTGGCGCCGCTTCCGTGCCACAGTCGTCATCGGATAGCCGCCTCCAACAGACCCTGCAGCGCACGGAGGCGGCCGCCGCTGACCGGCCGTCTCAGCCGCATCCTGGACTGCGCATGCGCGGTCTGGATGACGAGGCGCTGTCGACGCCGGCCGCCGCTGACCCGTACGCCCGTGTCGACGCCCAACTGGACAGGAATCTGGGTTAGTGCCGTAGCTGCCACTGAACGCAAATGGTCTATGCTCTGGGATCGGGCCCAAGCTCTCGCGAAAAGAAGCTTTCGGTTGTTTTTATTACATAATTCGGTTGTCTCGCTGCTTGCCAGAAGGTGTTTTGAGCTGGACAGTAAATTCCGGGCAATCCCGTGAAATTTGGTTCCATTGGTACACTTTTGAGTGAGATAATTTTGCCATTTTTGAGAACACTGAACATCAATAGCGATTATAGTGATACTCATTTTTAAGCGCTCTTGTACAGTTAGCTAGCGAAATATGATAGAGGCTGAGACTGCGTCTGTTGTGGTCAGCAGCATGTAGATACTTGCCAGATCCACATGACTGTTAGTTTAAGTTGCATTATTTACAACCTAACTATGTTTTGCTATGCATGGGTTATAGGTCTAGGATTACAGCGGTATAGTGGTTGAGCTCCCTGTCTGAAAAACTAGAGATACGAAAAACGGGGTTCGATTTTTCGCGACATCCGCCCTTCCTGCCAGGGTGAGAGGCGGGTGACGCCATAATGCCTGAGCAGCTGAGTGCGTCGTTAAGTCCCAGTGACGACGGGTGGGGGTTTATCGACTATTCTATGTGACGTGTTGGTGTGGCTGCGGCCGCCGCCCGTACCCGGTGGCGGGTAGTGACGGGCTTGCGTGCGCCGCCAGAGGACATGTGCTCGGGTCTGACAAGGCTGCGCGGCCTCGCCGAGGGTCTCGGTGACGAGATCTCCGAACAGAACGACATGCTGGACCGCATCAGCAAGGCGACCGACCGCGCCGACCTCCGCGTCACCAGCCAGAACAAGGACATGGTCCGCATCCTCAAGAAGTAGGCGGTCGGAAGCGAGCAGGTGCGTTGAGAACAGGCTGTCGGCAGGGCCAAGGCCGCATCGTCGACAAGGGGGCTGCGGTCGGGACATGGCCACGATCATCAAGGAAGTGGCTGAGTTGGCGACCTAGAGCCTCAACAAGAAAGCTTATTGTGGGAGTTCGGTATCGACACGAAAAAAAAAACAGACTTCAGGTGGTGATAGAAATCCTTAATAAGTAAAAGTCTATGGCGGCTTGGCCAAAATCATGTGGAGCAACGCTATTTGCTACATTTGACCGGTGTCCCAAAATAGGGTCGGACCAAAAACGCGTTGAAATAATGACACGGTCGTCAGGGGCAGATGGTCAGCATCAGTGTACTCATCGGTGTAGTGGACACAGCACGTCCACACAAGCGCCGGTGGGCGGGCCGAATCCATGTGGACCGCTGTGAGGCCGCGTCTGTCCGAGTGACGGGTCACCGCTGACCAGATCCGGGCGCGGGGTGTCGGGGCGTGTGATCCTGAGTTGTGTCCTACATATCCAGGGAGCGAAAACGCCGGGCGTCCCCCATGGAGCGCTCGGTCATCCCCCAATAATTATTCTGCGCTGCCGCCGCCATGCCACCCTTCCGCGGTGATATAGGCGCATGTTTACTGTGGTCGGCATGCTTACCCCGCTTGGATGGCCAATTTTCTCCGTGGCCGTATAACCATTGCATCAGCAATCCATTCGCGTATTTGTGCACCGATAGCCACGAGAGGTGCGGTCGTTAGATCTTCTGTGCGGTGAGTAGTCCACGTTAGCTGGTGTCAAGCGGATGTGCGCGTGCATGTGGATGTTTTGTATCTCCGGTGTCTACGTTGCACCAAGCTTGGTGTCACTGTGGGGCGGGGAGGGTCTTAGGAAAGGAGGTCGAAATGCCAAACTGTTACACGTGTCATTGGCAGTAATGTTAGTTCTGGACATGTGCTAATTAAGCTCATAAGCTCATTGGCTCTTGAAACGCGTGAAATTCGCCTTGCATAACAAACTGTATCTTGTTTAAGATACCGCGTGCGAGATTTTTTCGAGCTTTGAGATCTGAGTGATTCTCTCGGAAGTGCAGGGACCTTCATACGTTGGCCGCTGTAAGCCAATTCATTATGGTGGCGTGTTGCTGATAATAAACGGGAAGTACACACACCATGGTTCGTCAGTGATCAAGCAGCGTTGCCCCGAGTTGTGTTTCACGACATGGCTTCTGCTAACTTTTGTGATAGCTCATTGACACAGGCGGTACACGCATTTCTCTAGAGGCGTGGTCTTATCAATTTGCCTTTTGTTATTGTGCTCCTGAGGTTGTATTCCAAGAATGTGGAGCAACGTGGAATGTTGAATGTTAAGTTGCCTTGTGTGGACTGTGACCGCGCGCGCTCAGAACGGCAGCATCGTGCCGAGACCACCCTGCTGCTTTGATAGCACAGAAGATGCCGGGTGCGTTCCGACCCAAAAATTATTTATTCAGACGTGCAGTATTTTTGCGAATATTCATTTACGCATAACGGGTACATTTTTCTTCCCGCTTTCGATTCGGAACGTAAGGTTGACCGCCCAACGGGGACACATCGTTTGACGGTCGTCTGCGAGCCGTTCTGTTGGCACCACGCGGCGTCACCACACCAAGCCCGAAATATAGCGCTGTCCGGCGCCGTGATGTCGCATGTTGACCCATGGCGGGCCGGCCGCCCCGGGGCGGCAGCAGTCACCGAGGAGCACGCACAGCGGGCTCAGCGCGGCGCGCCTGTCGTGTAGCAGACGTCCGACGTCCGCCCATGCTGGTGCGGGACCATCAGGCCAGACATACAGCCGGAGGGCAAAACACTGGTTGGCACCTGTTGTGGGAAGGCCCTCGCGAGACCGATTAAGCATCGCTGACAAGGCAGGCATGACAAACGTTATAGGCATACCTTTACTTCTAGATTGGTTGTGTGTCCCTGTTTTCGCATAGAGGCGCGCTTCTAGACTGGGTGGCTGCGTGATACCAATGTGGCTTGCGTTGCCAAAATTGACATAGCAGTGACTGTACGTAAGTTACAGTTTATTTAGATGCAGCGCAATGAGCACCTACACGGTGGGCTATATTTCTGGCAATCAGTAGAATCAGCTGATGCTAAGGATTCGAATATTCCCGCCCCGGAGTTGTGTACATTAACCAACGAAACAGCAGCAATAACCGATGGAGCACATCCCAAAGAGACTTCCTGAAACTCGGCCACTCATCAGAGCAGCTGGCTTGACTACCCGAGACCGAGCAGTCAGCAGTGCCACTTCCGGTGATGACGTCATCGACGCAAGTGGGTGCCGTCACTTCCCGTCGTCAATTACGAGCAATGACGTCATTCCCGGCTCAGCCACTTCGGTGGCGCGAGCTCCCGCTTCGTGACGTCACGCCACCGTCCGTGGCGTCACTCCATGTTGCTGTGGATCCACTGAAGCATGCTACTGACGTCTGCGTACACGCCGGGCATGCCGGGCGTGGCGCAGCGCACGCCCCAGCTGACGGCGCCGGCCAGGCGCAGGTCGGCGGCGGTGCCACCGTCGGCCGAGAGGGCGCCACCGTCGCCTCGGCAGACCAGCGGGCCGCCGCTGTCGCCCTGGCAGGCGTCCCGCGCGCCGCCGCCCGCGCACAGCATCGTGTCGTAAATGTTGTAGTGCTGCGCTCTGTAACGGCGGAGGACAGGTGTCACACAGGTGTTGCACCGGGGTTGGACTTTCTGAAGGGTGCTGGGCAGAAAGGGGAGGGATGCCAATATTTGATAATTGGTGCCAGTGCTTCCCACAGCTCCCGTTTCAGAGGCTCCACGTGCAAGTCCGGAGACTTGAAAATAAGATGGCTTCACAGGCTTAGCGGCTGTACAAGACGTGCTTTGAGGCAGCACGTCGGTTGTCCTCGCTACACTCTGGTCAGACACATATCGGAGCAAAGGCTTTCACAAACATTCCCTCATGGTGAAGCAACATTTGCGCCAAAAGCGTCTGCCTTGCCGCATGAGTGGCATACGCGATAGGGAACGCTGCCCGTCGGTCGCTATGTCGGCCGAAGGGCTTCCCAACAGTGAAAGCGTTGAGGGGAGTCAAAGGACACTGCTATCGCATAAACCGATAGATGGGTCCAAGTAAAAAATTACATCGCGAGGGAGTGTACCGGTTTGCTGGGGTACCGGGACGACCAATGGGTAACATTCCGATCTACACAGAGATGGCCAAGGGGCCATCAAACGACCAATAGTCATCTAGGACAGGCGCCAACACCTGCGCCTTTTCGCGCAAGGGAGCAAAGGTCAACCATTTGCTGTCATATCTCCTAACGCTGCTTGATTGTCCTTTTGTTTCACCAATGTATGCAGACCATGCTTGAACATTGTGATACCCTCCTGGACACTGATTAAGAATCCTCCGTACACTACCACATGATGCAGACGACGCTGCACCACCACCTGACTGACGAGCGCGCGTGGGCGTTTTTATGCGGTTGTATGAACGGTGTATCTCGACGTGGTGTCAAAACTTCCAAAACAGTGATGATGGATGTACCGTTCTGGGCGATGTGCTTTCTGTGCCAAAGCAAGCTCTTCTGCGCCCCATGGCAGCCACCCAGAAATGCCAAGGACGTAATGACATTTAAGATAAGCAGGTAGCCGTGAGGAATTGCTGAAAGCAGCTGGACTACCACACACATTAATTCTTCACGGGGACATATCATCACATCACATCACACCACATCACATCACAGGGAGTGACATATTGCCTATTTATATGTTAGTAAATATACATGTACAGAGTAATTGATGATGTTACGGGGTTTACCAGTGCTTTGACCACCGAGGCCGTTTCACGCAGGCACAGCTATTTGTGCGCGCATTTGTGATTTACAGCCTTTAGAAGCGTCGCTAGTGACGCGTGTGGTGTCATTCAAAGCTGTTCATATCGCTTACGACAACGCAGTCATTAGCACATGAACCCAATCTATTAATTTCTATATCTAACCACTCAAGGGTGTGCTGGAAAACAATGATGGGATCGTGGCACGTGCGCCACGTTCCAACTAAAAATGGAAACTTTACCGCTCCCCAATGTTACGGGAGAATGTCATGTGCGCTCTGCCTGTGTGACGTATAGGACTTCCAGAGATGCAGATTCTACAAAAAAGAAGCGTAAATTGTTTTTTATCGGTAGGCTCGTGGGTGCGGCTTGTGGGTCCGTTTTGAAGCATGGCGTAATGCATCTTGGCTCCCATACCATGCATGGTGACGCAGCATCTGTGGCAGTTTTGGTCTGCACTTACAGCGCTATGGCCGAACACAGTTGCGCACTGAAAACTGCTGTGTGCAAAAACTATTTTCTGCTCGTTCTCCGAAAAATTAAAGCCAAACGATTTATTTGTGGTTTTAATACCTTTACGATAGAAAGGATTGTTGTTGTGTGGTGGGAGTCACTTCATGGGAGGCCACATTCTCCACGAGAAGAGGTAGGTGCTTGGCGTCGCTCACCTGTACGCCTCCGCACATCGGTCCCGGGACTGGGTGGTGACCAGCGCCATCTGCAGGCGTCGCACCGTGCTGCCGCCCGACCGAGTGGTACCCCAGCCCAGCACCAAGCAGGCGGTGCCGTCAGACGGCCTCCCCTTCGCCAGCTGCATGAACTCGCCCGACAAGCGAGTTGACGGCCGTAGCGGCTCGACTGTCTTGATCAGTGCCAGGTCGTTGAACTTCTCAGTGCTGAGGACAGGGGCGGTATGCTGAACGCGCTCATTCCTGGCACAGGATCAGGACTACGCGCCGCAGTGCTCCTCATCATCCTTCGAAGGGAAACATCGATGTCTTTGACACTGCTTGTAGTTAGACACTGCCGACTGCGTGCATGTGGCCATCACGTTCAAGGAAGCACATATAATACAGTACACTTGAATGGATGCACCGATCAATAGCCGTGATAGTGATCATAACTCGTGTCGCAACTACCTGTGCACCAAGGTAGGTGTGCGTACCAGCGACAACATCAGTTAAGTCTGCGTGGCATTCTGGATGACTAGGGACTGATTAAAACATTGCACTTGAACCACTACGGCAATCACTTCCAAAAATTGCCGCCGCTTAGATTTTGCCCCATATTTTCGACGGGTGTCATGGATTTCTATGAGCTTTATTCAAAACGTCACATTGGAACTACTTTATATACATGGGCGTTACACATAGCAGAGGCTGTGGTAAAATGCATTAGGTATGCAAGCCAGTGAATTTGAAATATGTGTCTGGGCATCCTGTTTTTTTTTTTACCAAATACATGCAGATTTGCTAATTGGTAATAAATCACCATTGTCTTCAACCAGCTATGTACATGACTGAAAACACCCACAATACTTCGGCATGCTCTACACAAAGTCGAAGCTCATATAAATCGCCCAACATCACGTTTTTGCGCTACATGCAGCGTTTCCAGGAAGCTCCGGCCCACCTTCGGCACTGCCGTATATGCGATGTGCCGTGCTGCCTGCACTCAGCTCCAGCCGAAGTGCCGCACGCCGCTCCCGCGCCATCAAACGGCAACGCAGCTATCGACGTGAATGTGTGTAGGTATCTTCATGTACGCTTGTAACCGACCAACAACCCAGGACTATTTATTTGACACTGCGATATTCATGACTATGCCGATTAATGTGAATCGTTGTTTATCATAACGGTATATGCATTGGGAACAGACGATATTTGTGGATGATCTTTTCAGCGATAAGTCCCTCTCCGTGGGGAAGGCGGCGTTAGGCGCGTTATGTATGGAGAGTGGGTATGGGGTGAAACTGATCTTGTACACCCTTCATCACAGTGCCATATGAAGTCATACTTAAGTGGAGCACTTAAATTTACCACATAGATACGGGATACCACGGGATACATCAAAGTTTTTCGTCACAGTCCACCAGACCTGAGGTGCTGTCTTTTCAGCGTCTTTTCGCGGCTGCTGTGACTAACCTCCATGACGACCCGCCACACAACACTCGGATCCTGCCCCTCGGTTGTTTCTCAAGTCTCCCTATTCTGTCCAGGAACACAATCTCACCTCTCCTTTGCGGGCGCAAATGCACATAAAATGCACGTCCTCAGTCCTGTATATGTACCTGCGGTATGCCTGTACATAAATGTGTGTAGTTCTCCTTCCTACTTTGATTGACGCCCACTTATTTAGGGTCCAGAGCGCGACCTGCTGGGACAGGCGAGTCCTTCTCCCTAAGCATGGAGGCGCTTCTCTATTTGTTCTTGAAGCGCCCTGATGTTTGTCCTTAAAGGATGCTATCTATTCGTTGGTTTTCATGTATTTGCGTTTTTAGGCGCTCCGCCGCTTAGACTCGAGGTTCCTGTTTGTCTACGCTTGTGGACTCTGGTTTTTAATTAAATTTAGTCAATTATTAGAGCCATTCTACGTATGGGTGGGGGTGCACTCTTGGTAAGCTCGGAAACAGCTGTGCCTGTATTTAATAGCTCCCTCCTTTAATAACTGTTGTCACCCCTGCTCCCCGCTTGGGTTTGGGCGTCCCTTCGCTTACACTTATGGACCTTCCGATACCAATACCTATGTTTGGGGCGCCAATGTACTAAGATTCTGTGTTGCTGTTTTCTACCCAGTTTAAGTACCCTTGCTTTGCCATTTGGGCCCACCTACCTAGCGTCCAGTCACTTCTTTTTCAAGGGTTGGTAGAGCATCATTACCTATGGTGTCTATTTAACAGTTCTTGCGACGTCTTTGACGTCACTGAGAGGGGCTCTCAGTGTGGGCTTAAAGACGTCCTTGCAACCAGGCTCAGGGACGCCGCTCTGCTTGACTTCATCGTCGTTCGTCCTAGAACTTCTCGTAAAAGTTCGCTCACATTGGCCGGAAGGGAAGCAACATTGTCAGGCACGCTAATGTAGGGGATCGACTTATAAGACTTGGGCCCCCGTCATGCTGAATCGTTTACCCGACAGTTAACTAAGAGTCACCCACTGGGATTTGAACCGCCAGTGGTGACTTTCCAGCCTCTTGGGGAGAAGCTGCTGTCGTTCCTATTTTAAAACCGGGTAAAAGTGGACCAGATCCTTTACACTAAAGACCTAATTCTCTCAATTCATCGCGCCCTAAGTTAATGGAAAAGATGGTTAATGTCCGTTTAACTTGGTTTTTAGAACATCGCGGCGTTTTTGCAAAAGCCCAGTGTGGTTTTAGAAAGATTCGCAACACAGTGGACAATCTCTTGTTCTTGACGCTGCGATTGCATGGGATTTAAAGCAAACTGACACATAGGCGCAGTGTTCTTTGACATAGAGGACGCCTATGACACCACATGGCGTCAAGTCATTGTTCTCAAGCTATGCAGGTATGGTATACGCGGCAATATGGGCACCTTTCTTCAAAACTTTCTAGTTGACCGTTCTTTCCGTGTCCGTGTTGGAAACGAGCTCTCTGAGAGGCATCTTCAAGTTAACGGTGTGCCCCGAGGGGGCGTTCTCAGCGAAGCTTTGTTCGCCGTCATGATCAACAACATCGGGATTGGGCTTCCACAGTCTGTAGGTCGTGCGCTTTTTGTTGATGATTTTACCACTTGGACTAGCGCAGCAAGAGCACCATCGATGGAACGCCAACTCCAGTTCGCTGTTGACCGTGTTGAGAAGTGGGGTACCATGAACGGGTTCAGGTTTTCACGTAGCAAGACTGTAGCCATGCATTTTTGTCGTAGCCGGCAATGCGGCGACCTGTCTATCCGTCTGTATGGGCAATGCATCCCAACAGCCTGTGGCTAGATACCTCGGGCTACACTTTGACCGCCGACTTACATATAAGGCACATCTTAAGACGCTACGTGAACGTTGTTTTAAATCTTTGAACGTATTAAAATGTGTTTCGCGCACGTCGTATGGCGGAGATCGGAGCACGCTTTTGCTGCTGTATCGGGCGATCATACGGTCTAAGCTGGACTATGCATGTTTTATTTATGACAGCGCGTGCGAGTCCACCAAACGGAACATTGACACCATCCATTACACTGCTATACGTGCCATCACAGGGACGTTCCGTACACCTACCCGAAGCCTCCTGGTAGAATCGCACGGGCCGCCGTTGTCAGTGAGGAGGAAAATGCTCGGCATGCGTTATGCACTTAAGCTGCGACAGTTTCCGTGGCATCCCGCATATCACGCAGTCTTTCCGCGGCCTGCTGTGCCGTTTGTTCGCCATGCACCTCGGGCGCATGCTGTGACCTTTGGCTCCCGGATACAAGCCGTATTGCGGGAAACGAAATTCCCATTCGAAAGGTGAAGCGATCAGATCACCTGTACACTCCTCCCTGGCATTTGATCTCACCCTTCACAGACACATCTCTGACGGAAATGAAAACAAAAATGTCTCGCTGCCAGATATAATGAGGTCCAGAGCGCTTGAGCGTATAGCGTTATATGAGGGTTACACACATACTTACACGGACGGCTCTAAAACTTCTGATGGTATGGGCTGTGCGTTTGTGAGCGGTGGCGTCACCCGGCCGTTTTCATTGCCCCCAAATGCTTCGGTGTTCACATCAGAGCTCATAGCAGTCATTAAGGCACTATGTTTTACTGAAGTCGGTGACGAACCCTTACATCTCATTTTGACGGACTCTCTGAGCAGCATTCTGAGTGTGAAGTCTTCTTATCCATCATTTCCCCTTATACAGGACATTTTAATACGTTTGATTCAGCTGCATCAGGCTGGAAAGAAAGTCATGCTATGTTGGGTTCCCAGTCACGTTGGAATCGCGGGCAACGAGTGGCTGACGCGGCTGCCAGGCGAGCAGCGTGTGTCTCTCTCCATGTGTTCGCTCTCTTTCTTTTCCTGCCAGGGACTTTTACCCTGCAATAAAACCTTCCTGCACAACAAATGACAGCGTTGTTGGGATCGGATAGATGGTAATAAGCTTAGAGAGATAAAACCTAACCTGGGTCGGTACTTCTCTTGTTTCGCAAAATGCGGCGAGAAGAAGTGATCCTCTGCAGATTACGCATCGGGCACACGTACGCAACCCACGGCTACATGTTGGAGGGAGCCGATAAACCTATCTGTCATCGATGTGGTGCTGTCCTTACCGTTCGCCATATCCTTGTATCTTGTCCGCGCCTCGCGGAAGAACGCCAACGCTACTTTGGATAGCATGACTTGCCCCTTACGCTCTGTGATATGCTAGGAGACAACTCACCATTTCTGGAATCTCAACAGATCTTTTTGTTTCTCAAACACATGAACTTTGGGGCCATTTATGCGGGTCCTTAGATAGGTAAAACAAAACTCGTTATGGGCGCCAAATGACCAACGCAGTCGGCGTGCCCGTAAACTCCAATCAACAGCAAATGCAATTTGAACCTGGACCTCCGTAATGCCAATCCATTGTACTTTCTATAACACCATGTGGGCATGAATTCGCGCTTTTTCACGAATCGTCATGAGTGTGCATGCCAAACATGAAGTTTCACACCGGGGCGAAATGGGCCCTCGGGATCCAGTTCAGCCAGCGACACTCATAAGCAGTGATAAAGCGACAATTTCGTGTAGCTATCCACATAAAGCTTTTAAGTTGCATGAACATTCGCGGCGTGCGACACGAAAACAATAGGTTTATCGCAGAACCCTGTACATTGAGTTGGAAACCATTTGCAGGCACAGACGTTGAAGCTTATTCCACGTAGCCCACTATTCTGGGTGACCCAGATTAAATAAGGCAAATGGTGGACCACTGAGTGAGACAAATGCAGCCATTGCCATCTGAGTAGCTATCCCCACGCTAAAAGTATGCTCGGCCTAAGCCTTCGAAATTTGCCCTACCTCTTCCCAACACAACCATAGCCCCATCGGCACATTCACATGTGTAGAGTGGTTGTCACCCATTCCGCACAGATACCTTATTACTTCGGCTCGACCCGACACACGGCATGTCACCGGGCTGGTATTACAACAGCTGTATCCGAACCACACTCCCTCATTCCGTCAGCGAGTCGAGGCCTCGGGGCAGAAATAACTTATTTCCGCAAGTGTGCCGGCCGACGGCATTGATACCGAAGCCAGAGCAGCGGCCGCCTCTTCACCTGCGGCATTGCGCGTCACTGTCAGCTGTGGCGCCGCGTGCGGCTGCGGCGGCTGCGGAACAGCGGCCCGGCGACGCGGCTGACCTGGGCTGCGGCGGCGCAGCGTCCCCATATCTCACCTGTCGTAGTCGGCGATGACGACCTTGGCTGGCAGGCGGACCTGCAGACCCGCATCGTCCAGATCCGTGCCGCCCGTCACCACTTGGAACTTGTCCTTGTCACTGAGGAACAGGACATCATTCGTTTTGGGATCTGTGAATGACGTGACTAGCGACTCGGCGAGTGCGTCTCGCCGCGCTGTAGGCTGTGCTTCAGAGGGGCTGTGAGTCCGCGCTGTAAGCTGTGGGCCTCTGAATCCGCGGCGGGCTCTGAGTCCGCGCCGCACGTGTTACACACCGCCGGTGTTGCGGAGAGCCGGACGGCGACCGATCTGTTTGGACGACTGTATGTCGCAAGTGTTCGCAAACAAACGGGCGGAAATGATTGAGGCAAAGGGCTGCTTGACGTTTGCGCTTGCGGCGTACTGTAAGTATAAATATTTACGAGAAGTGAAGAAGTGATTAGTGTCGGTGCCCACAGCGCAGAGGGGTGTGCAGTGGCCACCCAAGTGTCTATAAAATAAAAGCAAATGTTGGACCACTGGGTGCCTCAAAATCAAACATTTTATCTGCTAATCTATCTCCGCGCTTAACATATCTGGAATATCTCAAACTATCTCATGGAAACTTGGGTCTACCCAATAATCGCTGAAAGTAACGTACTGGCGTTGAACAAAACCCCGCGGAACGGTTTCAGGCGTTGCAGCCTCTGACGGTGAGGGTGAGGCCTTGTCATGCAGTCAGTGTGAACGCCACCTCAAGCGCTCGCTTCGCTTTCGACTGGGCTTCAATGACCGTTTTTCGCATTCAGCGTACAATGAAAGTAAGCCCAGCGTCGGCCATGTGCAATGCAATGATGTGGAAAGTGCTATTTTCAACAAACGTGCTTAACCTTGTTGTTATTTTGATGTTGTACGAGCTTCAACCTTCCTGTATATAACACTCCTACTCCTCCACATTAGGTTGACAATCTATCGCGCGCTGTACCGAATATTATTGAACGCTGTGATCTAGATATGGGCCTCGTTAAAAATTATTTTCGAGCGGCAGTTGCCTACTCTATCACAAACCTTCTTGAGTGAAAACATTTTTGAGTAAATTTGGCATACAACTTTTTCGAATTCAAAATTTGAATGCGTGAAGCCCATTTCAGCGACCAATATCGTCCGTTTAACAGATAAGTTATGTTAAAGAACCAAGGTGGTAGCTTGATGCTACGAAATAATTACTAAAAATCAGTGTCCATTTTTCAGGGTTTTATCCGCCACGATCTGAGCGTACGGATTTGGTCAATCATGGTGGTGACAAACTATAATAAGCCGTCCGGAATTTGCGAATCATTTTCTAAATATCCTGATGGTATAAGGATAAATATGCTGCTGACAGGAGGAGCATACAAATTCGGAGTCACAAGGCTACGTCTGACCGAGTGCTGACAACACCTACAACCGGTGGGTGCACGTGGTCCCCGGCACACGGAGCTTACCGGCCTTGCCGCGCTAACTGTCAGTTCTTTTTTTAAAAAAAAATGTGTAATGGGTTTTAACATTTGAAAGAGTCATTAGAATCGTCATATTCTAGTCATTTACACCAGAGGCAAAGGCTCACTGTGGTTCCCAAACTCAGCTGAGATACTTTCCGAATTATCCATCAAGCAAGCAGGGGGTTTGTATTTATTGCATGGCCTTGCAAGCTAAGCATCAGAAGCATCAGGGTCTTTCTTGTCATGCAGAATGCGCAATAACATTTGTTTGTGGCGCTATGACCTTTTGCGGCTTAACCGAAAAAAGTTTTCGGGAGTTTTGTCCAAAATAAAGCGTGCTTGAACGGATTATGAGCTCGTCGTTATTACTTTAACGTTTGCCTGTAATACGCGTCACGTGGAAGCCATTACGCAAAATGCTGTAAAGAAGCATGGAGGATCCTGCTGGAATTGTCTTTAAACAGGCAACGTTGAAAGAACGGGATAACTAAATAGGTGTCGCAGAGCTTTTGTATCTTGAAAACATTGGCACCGACAGTGGCCTGCCACCCCCGAAATCGCGTACTGGTGTCCCACAAAGTCAGTGAGATATGCGGCAAAAGGTGTTCGCTTGTCCTTCCCCCAAAAAGAAAGTCACTACAATGTGGTCTGTCTGGCGCGAGTAAACCATGTGGAAACGACAGTTTTGCGATGGTCAATGGTCCCTTACATAATTATTTGCTTGCACTGATGGCTTTAGTGTGCCTAGCTACATGGGGCTTCATCTAAAGGTCATTTCACTCACTAACTAGCCCAACAGGGCAGCATTCTTTTGATTCGCCGTGTGCGGTTTACCAAAGAAGGCTGCCCGACCGCCCGGAGGTGGCATTGCTTGACCACTAATGATCTTGAGAGGGTTCGCTAAATGACGTAAACAGTAAGCCGTCACCAAGCCAGCTTCGCACCACATGAACTAATCCCGACCTTAAAATTAAGCTTAGCAGTCTTGTGATTAATAAGTACACTTTTTATTCTTCAGCAGCCTTCGCTCCAATAAGATGGCGGAATATATACAAGAATAGAACACTACGTGTTCACTGTGGTCTTCTGTCTCGTGCCCTGAGACGTTTGTCCATGTGAGCGTTTTTCTTAGACATTTTTTTATATTCCGCCCTCAGGGACAGCGTTTGATGGGTTCCCAACTTCGTTTTCAGAAGGAGCGATGTAGTGGCTGATGTGTATAACCTCGTAGGTGTTGACGAAGTTTAAGGGAACGTTCCACATTTGCGGACAATGAGGTAAGCATCAGATATGATGAAATAAGTTCTCTCAGAACTTTTGGTATACTTCCGAGTGGAAAAGACTGTTCTGCACAACACAATTTCTTTTTTTGGTAAATATGCCCCTGGAAATCGTACTCATCAACGCCAGATATGAATGAATCGACAATTATACTTTTGGCGTTGATCGGCGCATGGCTAGTGGAGTGGGAGGATCTAAGTGGCGCTCTGAGGTCGTCAAGGATGCCGTGGCGACCTTAAAATAGCCTCCTCGAAATAGTCCGCGTGTCTTCGTGGGCGTAAAGCTCAAAAACTAGGTTTAGGCCTCAAGGAGGGCAGGACTGTGGACTGCATTCAATGATCTTCAAGATGGCTATTTCAGTTAAAAGATGATAAAATGTGGAAGAAGAGATCATTAAGAAGGTCTTTGATGAATATAATTTTTTTTTTTGTATCGCTCATTTGAGCCTGGTCAGCCCATTAATATGTCATGCCAATTGATGTATTCTGTATCACCCTAGGGCGCTCGGTATACTACACCTATGCAGACTTCATCGCTGACGTCACCTGAAACGAGTCAGACCACAACGATCTCGCGCCTCAAATAAGGCAGGTGGGGAGGCATCACGGCCAACGCTGCTCCGACCACAAGCTCTTCAGCCGTCCAGTAGTGCAGCATTCTATGGTACGGCTTCAGGTCGTTTCTAGGGTCGATAGCCGGCACCGGTGCAGACAGCCACGCGCATTCACTGCCCGATAGCGCCCCCAGGCGAGGCCTGAGGCTGCACTACTGAACTAGTCTGTTGTCGGGGCTGCGTTGGCCGTCATGTATTCCCACTTGGCTTACTTGAGGTCCGAAGTGGTGGTGTTTCATGCGGTCTCGGGTTACGTCGGTGTTAATGAAAAGGGGACTATGTCTTCGACCATGCTTCGGATGCTTCATGCTTCATGCTTCATGCGCCACTGGTGCATGCTTCATGCACCAGTGGCGAATGAGTTTGAGCATGGTGCGTCGCTCGTTAAGCGGGACACATAATTGTCGGATTGGGTGGATGAGTCCCTTGTATGGTATTCTAACTTACTCTGATGGATACTAGCCGGTAGCTCTGCAGCAACTTGATGAATGGGAAACCTACGACGACTATCCGTTTGGGCGTGATTTTGAGTAGTGTGCTAAAGTTTCCAATGCTGCTGCAAGGAAGAACGCGTCAGTGATTGAGACATACGCAGACGTGGTTGCCGGTGGTAAGGATCGGTTGTCGTGGCTTCTGCACGAGGTAGAGGCACACCGACAGAAGACCAGCATTGTGAATAAGCGAGCGCCGAGCACACTTCCATGCGTAACCGCAGGAAACGTGTTAACAATTTTTGTTGTAGTAACGGTGTAACGTGAAGGTCTGCTTGACACACACACACACACACACACACACGTATATATATATATATATATATATATATATATAT